CATATCAACAGTTTATTTACAACATATGTTTTGTAAATATAGTTTTTGATTGCAATTGCAAGCCTTCCATCTTATTGCAGTGTCTTCTCTCTCATGGCTTCTTACTGTTGCTGAGCTATGGTTTGTGCAGGTTTTGTGGGCTTGTGTGATGTTTTTTCTTCTAGAGGAGTAACAAATGCTAAAGCATCCATGACTTTTGTATGAATACTCTTCACGCAACACCAGTTTGATTTAAGTGCATGGCATAATATGCAATGAATTGCTTGTGCTCTCTTTGTTGGCTACTTTGAAACCCGTTTTACCTGGACATCTTGTAAGTGCTTTTTTTGGATCCAGTTCCTCTCCGATTAAATTTGTCAGCAATCCTGTGCATACTTTCTTTCCTATATTTGAATTTGCGTCAGCTTTCCATACTATAAAATTGAATTATTCAATTTCTGTGAAGGGAATCTTCATTTTTGTCTCTTAGAGGGGTGAGATATTTCTTTTCCCCTATCATTGCTTGCACCTCCTCTTTAGGAGAAGATGTAAGCTTTAGGAAGATTGTGGTATCTGCTCGTAGGAGAAGGTCACTGCAAAGGACAAACCTGCAATGACATGAAGAGGTGAAAGCAGAAGACAGTTACAGTAGGACATGTAGAGCTAGGAAAGGCCAAAAGTATGAAGTAGAGGACAACAAAAGGGATCCATATGGCAGCAACAGTAAGAAGCAGAAAAAAAGGAGGATATTTTCCCCATTTCTTCTTTCCATTTCTGCTATAAAAATTGAGTAAAACCGGGGGAAAAAACGCACAAAGAAATCCACAAAGAAAAAAATAAAACACAGAGGCAGGACAGTGAGTAGCAGAACAATGATGCAAGTTCAAACTTACTTTTAATAAACACTTAGGCAAAGTGGAACTACTTTGACAGGTAATACTTGAAAGCACTGACTTCACAGTAAGGCTAGAAACAATGGTTACTGCCTTGTGAGCCAGGACATTTGGTTTCAGCTCCCGTCTCACATGAGAAGGAGATTTGAAATGCAATCTGTACTTCCAGAGTTTTGTACTGTGGGCTGCTGGAATTGAAATCAGATAGATAGAACTCCTATCTCACTTCTGTCTGCTACACCTCTCCATGCACATGTACCATTTCAAGATGAAGGGGTGGGGCTGCTGTAAGTGCTGCAAAACCACATGTAAGAGTATACCCAGGAGACTGGCAGCTGTCAAGCTATACAGGATTCACATGCCTGTTGGGACTGGCTGCACTGCTAAGCACCATTTAATTGCATAGAAGCATTAGGTAGCTATGTAGTAGTAGAAAGCCTGAGCAAGGTTTTGGCAGGGTGAGAGTGAGCAGCTCAGGTCTGTATCCTAAAGGAAGTGGTAAGATCTGTGCCTGGTTCAAGTTTTTAGCAATATTTGAAAATGTTACACAGTTGCTTCTACTGCTGTAACTTTTCTAGGTGCTACTAGGCCCAGTGTTTGTTCATTTGTTTCTAGTAAGTTGGAAATATTGAGGAGGGAGCTGTTTTAGTAGGCATGGTGGAGTGCATCAACAGATGGAGCTAAGGGAAACCTCTGTGTTTGTATGTCTTATACAACAAAACACAACCAAGTACAGGTCAGTGACACGGTTGTGTGATTTATTACTCAGGGTTTTGTCCATAGCAGGAATGTTGTAACTTAGAGGGGAAAAAAAAAAAGTCTGTTTTTAAATAAAAGTTCCCCACTTTTCATAGTTATTTTAAAATTGTTCAGCTGTGATAAGCAAAAGAAGGATCTAATTTCCATTTGTCTGTTACATAAATCTAAAATATGTTAAACACATATGCTAAACATTTTTCTCTTCAAACCGACCTCCTACAGAAGCACCACAGCTAGGCAGAGCACTCCCAGCTCTGTCAACGAGAGTACTACCATTGCTTCAGTGGGAACAAGGCTGAGCTCATAAATCCAGGGTGAAGACATTTCTGTCTCTTCCCTCTCTTCTTAGTAGTGTTTTTGTTCTTCTCCCTCTAACATCATGCTTAGTCACCATCAGCAGGTAGGTTGCGTAATATCTATTCAGGGACAAGTGTACTGAAAACAGCTCCATAGGTCAAGGTCATAGCTTCACTCCAAAAGGAAAAATACTGCCCTAAAAGAACACTCTCAATGAGAAAGCTGTTCTGAACTTACAACTGTGTCCATGTTGCATTTGAAAGTCAGGACAACACCAAAGCTCAAGAGCATGTTGCAACTCTGATTCACATTCATTCATGCAGGAAAAGGGCTTTTTATTTTACAGAACAGGATGTCTTGGGGATTCTCTTCTCATAAGGATCTGGTGTCTAGCCTGTTTCAACCTCAGCCGACATCCATACTTAATGTCTGTAAAAATTAGGAAGACTTCTGTTTTAAAGGGATTTTACAGCTCCCTTTAAAATTTTTTTCACTATGATGATATTATAATATACATACTCATAAAGGAACTTTGTGCACGAAGAGAAGCATTAATCAAACAGTAATTTGCCATTGTTTCCACTAGAGGATGAACATTAAAAAAAAAGTGAAACTGCATACTAGTAGTGCCCCTCCCAAAGCCTGTTCCTTTCAAAGTATACATACATAGTATGACAGAGAACTGGCCATATCATTTAAACTTAAAAATTTAATTCCAATAGGTTTGTGAGTCTGCTGGAGAAATGAAATGAAGTTCAAGCTCTGTAAACAAATACAGAAGAAGAAGAATAAAGAAATACTAGTTGTTTGGTGGGTTTTTTAAAATTTTTTTTCCCCTATGGATATTCTTACATGTGAAGTGTAGTTATAGCAGTATAGTTTTCTAAGTGCAATTCGATACATTTAGTTTCACATTTTCCAACATCCTGATTTTATAAATTAGACACAAAACCTTTCTCTGAGAACACCATTCACTAAGGTCTGTGCTATACAGGGCTGGTTGAAATTCTTTGGGATTGTTACTTGCAATTAATCATTGATTCTGTGGTTGCAGAACATCAGACACATGTTGTAAAATCCCTGAAGAACCAGTTGGTTGTATTAATATTCTCATTAAATACTATAAGCAGTTTTATAACTTTTGCAAACTCATGAACACCTAAATTTTTCCAAAACAAATATTATATAGTAATTTCTATTTAGTTTTAAACATTCTAGAGAGGAAATAGAAGTAGTTTGCAAAATCATGAGACCCCTTGGTTTTTCACATGTATCTGCCTGATAGAGCTTGAAAACTTGGAAAGACCCAAAGTCAGTTCTGTATTACCATTCAGTACAATTTGTTTTCCTCCACTGGGATTTTATTGGCACCAGCTAGTTCTATGAACCTGACAGGGTGGCACCCTTGCTCCCTGAAGAACCTTCCCATCATTTACTGTGTTCTGAATTTCAGAAGTTTTGCATTGCACTTGGAATGAAGCCAAAGATACCTTAGACATTAGGTAGCCATATTCCCTGGATTAATCTTGCATTTAATGTAGCCCAAAGCAGGGCTTTAGAAGGAATTTTGCAGCAACTACTCCCCTGGCCTCCTGAGGTCTGGAATTGTCCCACATGACCTTTCCACTTGGCCTAACATCATGGAGGGCATCAGCCTAAGTAGACAAAGGCACTTTGAGGCGTGACAACAGAGTCTGAGTCTTGGCAGAAGACCAGTGTCAGATATCAGAGGGTATCAGATGGGCAAGGAATCCAACAGTGAAGAGCAGGCACTAAAGACAAAAGTTATCTGTGTCTTATAAGGAAGGAAAGCTGGAGACAACATTGGAAAATACATTAAATGAAGATATTTGAAGACCGAGAAACTGGATGGGCAGGAGCCAAGAGGCAACAGTGAGAAAGAAAAGCAGAAGCAGTATCAAGACTTCCTGAGACTAGGATGAGAAACCCGAAGAAGGAGCAACTGGAACTGACTATCTGGGAAGGTACAAATAAACAAGAGGCAGAACTGGGTCATTTGGATTAAGCATTGGGTCATGCAGCCAGACTAATCTGTTCTTTTCCCAGGGGTAGAGGAGGGTTTGACGCTAACCTTGCACTTGCCTGATCTTAGTTCAGCCCCTGGCACAAATCACAGATACTGATGAAATGCCTGCAAGCTCAGGGGGAATAGCAGCACATCTGCAACCATGCCTATTTTATCTCAAAAACAGCTTGGGCTCTACACCAGCCAGGAGCTCTCTGGTTGCCAGAGGAACCTGTGGAGGCCAGACAAGCAGCTGGGGTAACACACACAAACAAATTCCAGAACATTAACTAAACTTGAAACCAAGTGAGCGTGACTTGGCTCATGAACTGAGGGACAGCATCACCCCACTGCCTGGCTACACAGAAAGCCAGGTCTGAGGATAAGGCTGTTCTCCTGAGAAACTTCACTTCAAGAATCATTAGCAAAAATATCCTACTTCCTTTTAAATCCTGGGAGAGATTGTAAAGCCACAAATTCACTTTTACATTTCGGGGTGTAACACAGATGCTATCGATTGGCCTGTCTCATAATATTGGCATGGGACATACTTCTCCTTCTCTGCCACCTTGGATGTGAGATATTACAAGTTACAGTTTGTGGAATGGAAATGCAAAAGTTCCCCTTGTGTCCATTCTTAACTGGAAGCTTCTTTTAAATAGGACCTCTCCCCTTTGGGGTAATTAGTGCCTGGAACAGCTGCAAAACCAGTATAAACTAGGAAAGCGCACATGGTAGAGCAACACAAGTGCAGAAGTACGTGTATGTAAGTGGTAAAGATTCCTGCTGCTGACACTCCATAGATATTTTAGAAATTATAAACTCTGCCTGTATAATCTAGAAATTAAATAACAGACAGCAGTAGAAATGAACACAAATGTTGTGCTTTTTGCGTCAGTTCTTGACTGATGCTTCAGAAAGTTCCTTTGAGTTAAATTTCTATTTTGACAATACAGCTATCAGGTGATACCCTTCTTGACCTCCATGCAGCAGCTCCAGAGGAAAAAAAAAAAAAATAGAAACCCCATACTCCCTCAAAACACACAGCCAAGGATTAAGCATCTCCAATACAACAGTGAGTTACATTTACAATCTAAGGCTGGGACAAACTGATTTTGTTTAAATAAGCTGTCATTAATTAGTAATCTCTAAATAATGGCCTCCATCCTTGGTGCCTCTCAGTATTTCCTCATCTCACCAGGTAGCAGCAAAAACATTCCAGATTGCATCAGCTTTGAAAGAGATTCCCCTTTGGCTAAACAGGATTGCACTCTGTGTGGACACTAGGATTTTGTCTAGTAACTTCTGGTTAATAAAGATAAGCAACCCTATAAGACTTAAATGCTACATGAAAGATTAAGGCCAGGGAGGGCTGTGGAAGGATGAAGAATGATTTTTCCTCCCTTCTTTGTTCTAGGCCTTTCAGTCATTATAAATTAACATTAACTCTCCTGTAGAGACAGTCTCGTCTTAACTCTCATCTTAATTTATACCTGGCTACTCCTGGATTTAAGAGGAAAGAATGACAAAACAAATAAACAACAGCAAAATATCATTTTAGAAGGAAAGAGGAAGCCTAACAGGCACTATAACAGAGTGTGTTTTATTGGAACTTGGCATGCCCACATGACGGATGTGACAGCACTTATCCCACAGGTAGCCCAATCAAGCTTCTTCAATTGTCAGTTCATGTTTAGTTGCCTCCTCAATGTCTTTAAGTTGCTGTAGCAGCCATTCTCTTTCTTTCTTTCTCTGTTACAGAAGAAAAAAATAGTTTAATCAAGCTAATCTATTCAGATATCACCTGCTTTCAAAAACAAACAACCTACACAAAGGACTTACAACCCAACTCAATTTTGGCTGGAGTTTTCCATTTGTTTTACGCAAAAAAACTTTTACTTTCAAAGCTGGCAAGTTTTCTTGACACACTCAAGAACAGTCCGGTACAGAGAAAATAAAAACAAAGCAGAACAGAATTTGATGGCTTCACACTGACATGACAACCTTCAGAGTCTAACTCTGCTGCCTTCCTATGCTTTCTATGGGATTTCCACAGCCCTTAGCAAATAATTAAATTTTCAGAAAATGGAGTTCTTGTGTGCCACAGACAACCAACACCTGCAGAGCATCTAGTAATCTAAGCTTTCCCCAGAAAACCCTACATTAGTGAAAAGGACTGCTCACAAGATCCCATTTGCAATGACTGTTGTTCTTTTTACAAAGAACTACAATTTAGATTTAACAGAAAAGTATTGGTTCCTCAAATTTGATCTGACTTGCTAACATTAAGAAACTTTAGAATTTCAATTACTGATTTCTTCCTATTCTTAAATGTCTTCTAAAGAAAGATACATTAAAATATACTTTCCCACTTGGGTACACAATGAGTCATACCAGCTCACAAGCTGAAGCAAAAAATACTAGTGTGGAAGTTTGCATGGCATCCTGTCTGTGATTAGGAATGGTATCACAGAGTTTACCAGGTTATGACACAATTCATAAACAGATGTCCTCACTGTTAAAGTTATGGAAATGTTCCATTAGTAAACTATTCTGACTTTACTAGAAATATCTCTATATATTCTGTGTTGGTAGAAGTTTGTGTAACTTAGCTATTGAATAACTAAATGAAAATCTTTACCTGAAGGGTTTTATCAATTTTCTTCTTTCTGGGTTTTGCTACCGGGAGGTCTTTTATCCCTGGTATTCCAGAAACAAGCCATGAGGGTCCACTCTTGGGAGTTACTGCAGCATCCACAAATGCTCTGGTGGTAGCTTGAGTTTCTGTGTTTGGGACAATCTTGTGAGCTGGCTCTTGATTTGATTCATCAGAGGCCAACACAGTGGAAAGCCTCTTTCTAGAAAATACAAGCTGAGAGCTTTGGCTTTTCTCCTTATTTAGTTCTTGCAAATCAAATGCTGTTGAAAGTTTTTTTGGGGATGAAGGAGGGATGTATACATCAACATGTACTAATGATACTTGAGAAAACGATCTACTTAGATTTGATTTTGGCATTGGAGAGCCATAAACTCTCTTTGTGGCATCATGGTCCTTGATTGACTGATTTGTCAGATCTACAGAAGATGGAATTGTTCTTGAGAGCACTGAGTCCACTGGGGTGCTGTGTTTCACCATTCTCTTTTTCAGAGATCTTTTAACATTCAGGAAAGAATCATCTTCCTCTGACATCTTGTAGTCAAGTTTATTGCCTTAAGAAAATAAGAAGATTGTGTCATTTTTCACACTGTAAAAGATGCAATGTAAGCTGAATTTTAGCAGCAAGCTGTTAAATCAAATCCTAAGTGTTTCTATTTTCATGTCTATATTCTGTCTTTACATGGAATTTATCCTTTATATAGATCAGTGTTCAAGCATTTAGAAGAGCCATGTTGAAAACAGAACATGAGAACACATCTGGTCACACATCTAACACTTACAACTCCTTTCTCAGCCTTCTGCATGAGGAGCTCCAAGTGTGCTAGAATTTTTAGAGATCTTTCATTAACTGCAACCTCATTAAGACAGTATTTCCTCCTTCCAGGTATATAAATAATATACTTTTGGGGTTTCAGCTGCTAACACTCTCTATGCAGCTGAAAAATATTAGATGGCAGAGGGACTACTGTTGTGTAGCAAGAAATCAAGTGCTCTAAAGAGATGGCCAGAGAATTTCTGGATTCACCAATGATCTCTTAATCAAATTGCCATTTTATTTCCCTTCATTCCTTGAAAAGTGGCTCACAAACCTCTAATTCCCTTCTATTCACTTGACATTTATCTTAGTTCAGCTGACCCTAAGCTTTGATTCTAAAAAATACATGTTCTGTGCAAGTCTACTTTCAACTGAATTTACAATGGCAAGCTTGCTTTTGCTAGTAGCATTATTCCTATCCATTTGAAAACCCCCAATAAAAAGAAACTCTGCTTCTTACACTTGCTACTTCTTAGGCAGAAAAGCCCAAGACAGACATCTGATTTGAGATATATTTAAGATAAATATCTAAATCATGTGAGCAGTTAAGTACTCCTAGTAATTGTTGAAATCTTTGCTTTCATGAGGTTGTTCAGATATATAATGCAGGTTGATTGCCCCATATTCTAAGCTGTATATAGATTGTGTCCTTGGAGGGGCAAAACAGGACTACCATGAAGCAGGGCACAAGAAGACAGAGAAGTATATTTGCTGAAGTAAAAGGTATTAGTTCTCCATTTTTTGTCAATGTTTTGCACCTGTGTAGTGTCTAAGTTTTCTAGCAGAGTTTCACATCCACTTTGTGTTTCTAAACACTGAGACAGCAAGATATAGGGCACTGACTCTTCAATACAGCAGAAGTCAGGTGTTTTGTAGGGTATCTTTTTTCCTCAGAAAGAGGGAGGTGTACTCCATAATAATTTTTATTTGGATACCCATTTATTCTCGCACTTCATAGCAGTGCTACCCTGTGTGACACATAGGCAGTGTCTGTAGACTAAGTGCCTTTCTCCTTTTCTGTTTAGACAGATTGACTTCCTTTAGTCTTTATCATAGAAGTGTACATGGTTAAGCTTAGAAAGGGAATAAGGAGGACTTTACAGCCACCACTCCTCCCCCAAACCTGTCCTCAGCTATATATTTTAATACTTTCCTCTTCATCATTAAAAGGTCAATTAAAAGCTATTTCTTTCTTAAATTAGTTTTTAACAAAATTTTTTCAACCAAAGCTTTTGTAGAAAACAACAAATTTTTAATTTTCACATTTCTCTATGTTTTAGAAAGATAATATGTAAAAGCAACAAGTTTTTCTGCTCCAACACCACTATAGATAAAGGAGAGAAGCCTAAAACCAGAGAAATATAAACTAGTTGAGAATATCAAAGTATACCACAGAGAATGCATTTTGCAGGAAATTTGACAAAATATAGCAGACTTACTAGACTGACCAGGTTCTATCTGATATCTTCCTTTTTAAGTAATCTAGCTTCAGCTGGTACTTCCCTGCTTATAAACCTGTTCATCCTGGCCATCATTTGCTACAGACACTCCCTAATTAACACATTTAGCATTTTTTGGGAGTATCAACATGAATAAATGAATAAATAACTAAATAGAAATCTAGGATTAGTTAATCCTAGGAAAATGGGCTAGCCAACTTATCTATATGCTATATTTATTGGTATTTAATCTCTGCTGTATCCTGCCTATTTCAATCACAAAAATACTCTAGTGGTTAATTGGCTTCACATGGCTGCTAAGGCACATTGAGGATCTGCTGCAAGATGGATGTATGTTGATGGTGTATATTACCATCCTGATTTTATTTTCTCACAGCTTTTCTTGTTCAAAAAATAAATGGGAAATTAATGTTAAATCTGCCATGAAAAAGCTCTTCTTTTGGAAAAATAGGAAGTGAGAATAAACTGAAAAACTGTAAATTTCAGTGTGAATGTCATGGTGTTTGCAGCTATTGTATCTTGAAGCATATGTTTTCAAAGTATCAGCTCCTAGATTAGAATTCCATTCGTTTGAAACAGTATGGTTTAGGTGGAAGACTGTAATTTTTATCAACTGAAAAGCAGCTGGACTACACCAGTCCTGAATTGCAAGTCAGCTTTGTGGTAGCTGATGGTAAACAGCTGTTATCACAATGCTGTAGGGCAAGAACAGGTGTGAGGGAGCATGTGCAGAAGTAGTGGAGTAGCCCCTTTTGACAAAGCATGACCTGTGGACCTTTAAGCTGATGAAACAGACCTAATTTCACAGCTTTATGTGGATGACCTGGGGTTGTAGAGTGCATCTAGCGTAGACAGAGGGGAAAAAGCACTGATCTTGCAGGAATTTGAACTTTTGGTTCCAGGGAGTCTGGGTATTTCAAACATAATCATAAACCACTCTCTCTTGCCACATTAATAGTTTTACTATGAATAGAGAATTGGAGCTACCAGTTCAAAATTTAGAAGTAACAGTCTGTCAGTATATGGATAAAGTTTCTAGGCTTAAGTTATGCGCCCCAAAGGAGCTGAAAGAGAGCTTGAGAAATGGAGGCACATTACAATCACATGGATTGCATGAGTAAACAACTTGGAAATAAATAGTCTGTCCAGAATAAGCTATTTATTTTCTAAACTCCCAGGGGAAGATCCTACAGTAATATTTTGAGAATTAAACAAAAACTATTTTGAGATACTTGTGGCTGGGGAAAAAAAAAGTCTCAGCCCTTTATAAACACAGACAAATCTTTACCTAAGTTTGAATATTTGTAGTTAGTTTTCATACCTTGTGGCTTGGTGAACAAATCCACCAAGCCAGTCATTCTGTGCCTTGCAGGCCCACAAGCCAGTTCCTTATATAGTACAGAGCACAGTGATGTCTTGACATGGTGTCACAATGTTTGTGCTGTACTGTGGCACACAGTATCACCTCTCCCCGCAGGGCAATGATGCAAACACTGAGCAGCATGAATCTGCATGAGAAGCATTTTGGGATGCTGAAAAAACTGACATAATTTCACTGGACCCCTTCAAAACCACATGGCCTTGCCTCCCAGCTGGTGCTTGGCACTCCTTTCTGTACTTGTCCTCACTTTTTGTGTCCTTTTCCATAGAATCTCACAGTTTGCAAGGGCTGTCTGTCGCTGCATCATCTTTATGTCTACCTTCCATGGCCTTTTCTGCAAAACTCTTAAAAAACAACTTCCCCCTTTTCTAAAAAGCCTTTTCTTTCTGTTTTTTTCTGGTTTTGTTTTTTTTTTTTTCTTGTTTTAGAACCTTGCTAAGTATTCTCAAGATATAAATTAAGAGATCTGTAAATTGTTCTTGCTGCTAATAATGGTTTATCATATGTCCTACAGATCCATCTCATTATGAAGTGGTGGCAGGATATTACAGAGAATAGGAAAGACATAACTGTACAAAGATAAGACAGAAAATAGTCCAATATTAATTAAAGATCAGAGCTCAGTAGGATGTTTACAGTGATTATATTACCTTGGTCTCAGTGTATCTGTAGCCGTTTTCTGTATCTGAACAGGAAACATGCAAACTGTGGCTTGAGTGACACCTTGAAAGCTTCTTGCATCTTTCAAAGAATGACACATACTGTGTCCTGCACTCAGACCTATTCATTATGAATAATTCCTTCACTAAATTTACATTTCTTGGAATGATCATCTTTATCCTCAGCATTGTCTACTTGGTATTTTGAATAATAACTTCAAAGATTTGGATACAACATTTTGGCCTATATTTACACACAATTCCTCTCATTTGTTGCATAATGCAAGATGGCACTTTATTCTAGCAATGTTAATATACATCTTCATATATATTATATCAAACTCCCACTGCTTTAGGTTTATGTCTTGAAAGATCCTTTTGTTGATCTCATTTTAGGAGATAATTTAATCTTCTTTCTACATTTATTTAAAAAAATGCAAAACCTACTTAAGTTATTGCATTCCTTTAAATTAAACATTAATTCTTAAATTTTTTACTTCCAAAAGCAACAAAAGTGGGGAATGTAATAACAGCACAGTGTTTTGTTCAAATTTCAGCCCTTTATTCCCGTTCAAATACATGCATTCACTTCAAAGACATGGAATTTTGGGGAGGCTTCATCTGGAAAAGAAAAATACAGGAATTATTTTTCAGTTTACCAAGGAATAATATACACAGAAGGACAAAAATGGACGCCTTTCTCCCATCTTCTGGTTTGTTTTGAGAGACTGAAATTCCTCAATTGCTGCTCTTTTAATTTCTTCATTTTCTAGTCTGAGGATGTTGCCAAACAGTTCTCCTGAAGGGAACTTGTATTCTGAACCAATCCTTAACTCATATGCTTCTCTAACATATTTTTTTGCATTGGATGTGCAATTCTAGTGTGTAAAGTCACAAATCTTGCATAAGTCTCCAAGCTAGGTGCTCTCCAATGGCTGGGTACAGTCTTTCCGAGGCAGAACATTAAGAGGCCCTCTCTCTGCTCTTGCAACTAGTCTGATGTTTTTAGGCATACAGGGTGATTCCAAGTATGTAATAAGAAATAGGAGCTGGTAATTCTACTCTGTCTGATGACCCATGGTGGAATGACCCTCAAAGCATTTTAAGAAAGAGGGAAGAGCCAGAGGAAGCATGGAAATACTGGTGAGGAGCAAAAGGAGAGTGAAAAGAAGAAATTAAGAGAGGGACACAAATGCTGAAGTGATTTCCTAAATTTAGGCTCACATAGAAATAATAAATTAGAAGAAAGATAAAAGGAGTACACAAAACAAAACAAAAAAACAACCAACCAACCAACAAAACCAAACTACAACAACACCACCAAAAAGGAAAAAAAAAAAAGAAAGAAAGAAAAAAGGAAATGAAATTATTTCCTAAGTGATTTAGAGGACTTGGGCCCAAATTACAAGCTATTTATGGATGAAAGTCCATAAAAATATAAATCTGATTCAAATTCACATAAACTATTCTTCCTGTGTCTGAGTTTTGTATATAGGCAAGTCAATCAGGAGTGCTCTAAGAGTTGTTGATCAGACCAAGCTCCTTAGTGAAAATAGGAGTGAAACCTTTTATTTGCTAATGTGAAGTCTAAAATGAGCAGGGAGCCTCATAATGAACAAACCTCTGCAGAACAGTCCTTTGGGGGTGGAGAGCATTATGGTACAGTGGGCAAATGGAGAAGTGATTCTGCCACATTAAGCTCCTTGGCAGCCACAGACATTGAAAAGGAAACAGTGCAACACATTCTGTGGACTTAATCTCTTCAAGTGTATAAAGCTGCACAGAGGGAGCCAGTGGAACATTACAAACTTTAAAAAAGCATCTCAGCACTATTTCTACTTATTTCAGTGGAATTACATGTCTGGACACCACTGAGAATCCTGAGTTTTGTGATAGGGTAAATAGGGGGGACCGGCGTTTTATATAGGTTTGGAAGACACTTTAGAGTAGAATAGAAAATAACAGATTACAATAGAAAGGAATAGAATATTTCAGTTGTAAGGGATCTTTAATGTTCATCCAGTCCAACTGCCTGACACTTTAGACTGACCAAAAGCTAAAGGATATAATTAAGGGTGAATGACTCTGAATGACTCTTAAACACTGACAGGCAAAGAGGATCAACCAGAAGCCTTTTCCAGTGTGTGGCCACCCGCTTGGTAAATAAATGCTTCCTAATGTCCAGTCTAAACCTCCCCCAACAAACATGGCTGTGAGCCATTCCCCCATGCCCTGGCATTGGGTACCAGGGAAAAGAGATTGGCACCTCGGTCTCCCCTTCCCCTCTTCAGGAATCTGTCAGGAGCAGTGAGATCACCCCTCAACTTCCTTATCTCCAATCTAGACAAAACCAGTGTCCTCAGCCTAGCATGTCTGCCAGCCCCTTCACCAGCAAAACCTTTACTGAAACCTTCAGAAACCAAGGATGATATCAATCCTTTGTAGTCTGTTAAACAAACTTTTCAGTGCCTGAAAAGCATTATGTACAATCTTGTTCTTCAGAAATTTTAAAGCTTTTGCCTTTTGGAACACTTTCTTCACATGTCATTTATGTTATGGCGGTAATGTAAAAGTGGTACTTTTGCAAGTGTTGGAGCTTTCCATTTTTCAGTGCGGCAATGACTTTTTCCTGGACAGAGGCAAGATCAATGTCTGTCTACAGTGTCCAGGAACAGAGTTACCTACAGCATAATTTTCATTCAATCTGATCACAGGAGCACCTCATAAGGAGCCTGAGAGGATGGCTTTAGGGAATCCTGGATATACAGGTGTTGCGATTTCATAACCTCTCAGTAAAAAAATGGCTTTGAACTAGCAATACACTGAGTCATGATGTTTGCTTCAGGTTATGTGTTTCTACAGCTTTTGGTTATGACTGTTATGACTGGACCTGTCTAACTGGATAACAAATCCAATTTTGTGCATTCAAAACCATAATCTTGAACTACTTACTGGGTT